AGGAATTTTTAAGGTGGTAGTATAAATGGAAACTTTTTGAAGTAGACTGGATATGGGCCAATAGCTCCTTGTGACTAGACTTTTAAACTTTGCTCTTTCAGGCAGGTGCCTGGTTTCTGGGAAAATACTGCACAGCCATTTTTGTCCCAGAAATTACATAACTTTAACTGAAAAAAAATGAACATTAGATTTCCAGATAAAGAACAATGTTCTTTGATAGGAAAACTGTTGTTTGTTTTTTAGACTCATGGAATAAAAATTTATGAAGGCAATGAAAAATTAATTGAAGATTAAAGCCAGATGGAGATTAGGAATAATGTTTTGCTACTTCTGCATTATTTAGAAACACATGTTATTGTACACTTGTAAACCATTTATTGTGTGAGCAATAACGACTCAGTTTAATAAAAGCTTCCTGTAGTGCATTGGTATGGATTAAATAGATAAAATATTCTATTAGACTCAATGCTGTATAAAATATTATGGGGAAAAAATGTTATTTTGCCTCTAAACTTTGATTTATTGAAGTTTTATTTGGCAGAAAAAAATTGAATCATGGTCAATATTGAAACCAAAGTAAAAGGGGAAAAACCAAAGTTATTTGTTTTGCATGGCTAAGCCATTCTGTTATTTCTGTAAATATTGTGATTTTTTTTTCTTTTCTTTTAAAAATTTTGTTAAAGAAATTCTAAAATTTTTAAACACCTGCTTTCCACAATAAACCATGAACACTAAAGTGAGATTACTTCCATATTAACTTTCTTTCTTTTCTTCTTTTGGTGTGAGAGATCAGAGGTTTAAAGTTTTACTCCTAAGATACGTTCACAGAAAGAAGCAAGAGGACAAGAGACAGAGAGACAGGGTTATACTACAGTTACGGATTTGCTTCCATTTGCAATGGTTAACTAAGTCCAAAAACAGTTGTCAGAACCAGAAAGAAATCCAGAGCTCGGGACCAAGAGCAGACACTTTGCCAGGAAAAGAAGGGACAACATTATTCTCATTGAGTCAATGCCAGATAAAGAGGAAAGCTTACTTCCATAATGGTAAGCATATGCAGAGTGATAGCAGGAAGGAAGATAATTCACAATCTTTAACTTCTGAGGTTTTGTATCTCCAGTTTAACTCTTTGGCAAAAGGAGACAGGTTTTATCAGTTGAAGATTTACTCCCTATATGTGACTGTAGGAATTGTATGTGGAAATGGATTAACATATCTGTCTATGCCTAAAAGATAATAAAAATGAAGTATTTCTTTGAAAATAAAAACTGCAGAAAACTGGAATAGAAAGTCTTTATCTCAATTTGATAAAAGCCATCTATAACAAATCAACAGTGAAAACCATACTAAATGGTCAAAAACTGAAAGCTTTCACTCTAAAACCAAGAACAAAACAAGGATGCCCACTATTACCACTCCTATTCAATATGGTCCTGGAAACATTAGCCAGAGCAATAAGACAAGAGAAAGAAATAAAAAAATAAGGATAGGGCCCAGGGATTTAGCTCAGTGGTTTCGCCACCTGCTGCGCAAGCGCGAGGACCTGAGTTTGATCCCCGGTACCAAAAAAAAATAAAATTTAAAAAAAAGGATAGGAAAGGAAGAAGTTAAATTTTTCATTCTTGGCAGATGACATGATACTCTACATAGAACACCCCAAAAACTCCACCAAAAGACTCCTAGATTTAAAAACCAAATTTAGGAGCATAGCAAGATACAAAGTCAATACTCAAAAAACAATAACATTCCTGTACACAAATAACAAACTCACTGAGAAAGAAATTATGGAAACAAAACCTTTCACAATAGCATCAAGAAAAATGAAACACTAGAATCAATCTAACAAAGGAAGTAAAAGATCTTTATATTAAAAACTACAGTACTCTAAAAAGAGATCAAAGAGGATATCAGAAAATGGAAAGATATCCTGTGTTCAAAAAAAAAAAGACACGAGGATCAAAGAAACAGAATAGAAGATGCAGAAATAACTCCAAATACTCTCAGCCACCTTATCTTTGACAAAGGAGCCAAAAACACCTTCACTGGAAAAATAATAATTTAATAAACAGTGCTGGGAAAATTGGCTTTCCACATGCCAAAGATTAAACCTAGACCCATATCTCTCACCACACACTAAACTAAAATCAAAATGGATCAAAGATCTAAGTATTAAAACAGAAAACTTTATCTATTGGAAGATAAAATAGGTAGAACTCTTGAAGACAGAGGTGTAAGCAAAGACTATGAACAAACCCACAATCCCACAGGAAATATTACAAAGAATCAGCAACTAGGATCTCATCATATTAAAAAAGCTTTTGCACAACAAAAGAAATCATCAACAGAGTGAAGAGACAACCCACAGAATGGGGAAAAACTTTCACCAGCTATTCCTCAGACAAAAGAATAATATCTAGAATATATAAAGAACTCAAAATAATCAGATCCCCTCCCCCAATTTAAAGACACAATCCAAAAATGGGCATCTGAAATGAATGGACATTTCTCAGGTGAAAAAGTACAAACAGAAAATAAATATATGAAAAAATGTTCAACATCACTGGTCATTCAAGAAATAGAAATTAAAACAACACTGAGATTCCATCTCACTCCAGAAAGAATGGCTATCATCAAGATATCAACCAATAACAAATCCTAACAAGGCTGCAGGGGGAAAGGAACCCTTCTCCACTATTGGTGGGAGTGTAAATTGGTACAACCAATATGAGTATCAGTATTGGAGATTCCTCAAAAGACTAAAACTTGAGGTTCCATTTGACCCAGCTAGTACCCTTCTTGGTATCTTCCCGAAAGAGTTAAAAGCATCATACCACAACAATACATGCATACTCATGTTTATAGCAGCACAATTTGCAATAGCTAAATCTTGGAAACAGCCAAGATGTCCATCATCAGATGAATGGATAAAGAAAATGTGGTTTTTATACACAATGGAATACTACTCTATCATAAAGATAGACTTGAGACATTTTTATGTAAATGGATGTACCCTTGAGAACGTACTTTTAAGTGGAATAAATCGGACAGACATGTTTAAATATTGGATTGTTTCTCTTGTATAAGAAACTGAAAGCACAAATAAGGACCAAAATGGATAACAAATATTGAGAAGTAGGAAGAAAATGTTCAAATGGAGAGAGAACAAGTGAAGGAGAAGGGGAAAGGGGGAAGGGAAAAAAAGAACAGAAGGAAAAAAATAGAAATGTAGCTTTTGTAAATAAGGAGAGGAAGAAGGATTGAAGGGAAGAGAGGAGAATGGGGATAAGAAAGAAGAATTAAGATATATTATGTATAGGTACAAATTCCCTATGATGAATGTGATCTTTATGTATATCCAAAGTGTACCAATAAAATTAATTTAAAAACTATTTGACAGTTTTCTAGTTGAGAACTTAGTAAAGCTAAGCACCAACATTTACAGTATGCACTTGTGGTGGTCGGTGATGCACTGTGAGCTGAGGTCCTGCTGATCCCAGGGTTAGTCCATTGTTTACAACATATGTGGTTGTTTGAGGCACTCGAACAGTAACACCTACAAAGGAAAATTAAGGAATAGACATCAGAATTCTACTGTAAATTTGGTGGAACACTGACTAAACACTTGAAGTCAGTGAAGCAATGTTTTTAAAATTCAAAAGGAAAAATATTTCTGACCTTGATGTCTACACTCAGCCAAATTATCATTTAAGTGTGAGGATAAAGAAATCTCTATATATGCAAATATACTGTGTGTATGTTTTCTTAAAAGTATACTTTAAAAAAAACTCCAAACTCTAACATTCCCATGAACCCTTTCTCACATAAGCACTGGAGAATGTGTGCCACTGATGCGAAAGAAAAAAATGCAGAAAGAGGGAAAACATGAAATACAAGAACAGAGATCAAATACAGAAAAAAAATACATATCCCTACTAGCAGAAATACAAACAAAAGTCCTACAACACTTGCCCAACACACGGAGAAGGCAAACAAGCCAGAAGGAACAGTGTGACTCAAAAGACAACACATGGAAGCTGTCTTTGTAAAGATCCTTCCTGGCTCACACTTTCAAAGAGGACAGAAAGCTCAAAAAGTTGTCCTTGTCTTACATTAATGAGGTTCCTCTTTCTCTCCATGCCCTGCTGGCCAGGTGAAGATACTCATTTCACACCACAGAAAACTGTTATAAAATACCCCAGGTTACAGAAGTAGAAAATTTAGAGTGATTAACTGTTTCAACCATACATTCAGCATCTGGCCCAAACTATAGCTCTGCCAGATGTCCTGATTATGGTGAATCTAGTTTCCCAGCACTCACTCACAATCATTATCAACCTGTCTTCTTAAGCCAAATTATGATCCAGAGACATAGTTTACTTTCTCCTGAAGCTATCATCTAATAATATTATTGCAGTTTCGCTACTTAGCTAGATTTGTCCTCACTATTAAATTTTTCAAAAATAAGTCATATATATATGTACTTTTTTTTAGTTACATGCATACTGGTGATAAAACTGAAGAAAAGAATGACCAATAGAAAAGAATGGTAGAAATGGTTACATTAGTAGGCTTATAGATACTGACAGTTCATGGGTGGTTCACTTTATTAATTCTCTTTAAACTTTAAATACAGCTTTTATATAAACTTGTCTTTATTTTACTATGTATAGTATATATTTTACTAATGTATATATAGTATATATAAGTATATCATATCTTACAACATTTATGTAACATGTTGCCCATATATATGCATATATACACATATACAACTAATATATAATATATATAGGAAACTACAAGGTTCCTCTAATATTTTCATTTCATTTCCACCTTTTCTATCTTTTAAGACTTTCTTCTTTTGGAAGCTATCCTTTACCATGATTTCCATCATATGGGCTAAGCCACAACTGATTATTTCCACTTTAATTAGACAGAGCATCTCTTAACAGATTACAGACCAGTATCAAATAAGGTACTATGATAGCATAGTCCAAAAATAAAGTTAAACATATAGCACATATGTCCAATTTTCTCTGATTAACTTTCTTAAGGGGAGAAAAGTGAATGAGTAATAAGATTTTAGGGGCCACTTTTAAAAACTATTTTTAATAAAGAACACTATACTGTATATATAACATTATGTTCTGAAATGTGTAATTGTGGAATGGCTAAATCAAGTTAATTAATGTATGTATTACCAACTTTCAAGTACACAATTCACTGTTATTAACCTATGCAATAAAACTATGCTGTACAACAGATTAAACTTTTAGCTCAGTGGTGCTGCGCCTGCTTCACAAGCGCAAGGTTCTGAGTTCGATTCCTGGTACCGGGAAAAAAAGCCTTAATATATTACAAGAACTTTTTGCAAAATCTAACACTAATATAAGCTACTTCAACTAAATGCTGAAGGGAACTACATATACCTCAGAACTATAGGCAAAAAAAGTCTCTTACTATTTTGAGGATTGACCTGGCGAACAGCAGGAGCCTGCATAACAGTTCCTCGCAGTGGGGCCTGAGCTGGTGGTGCTGGGAGAGTTGTATAAACCACCTGATGGTTTGTAGGAGCTCTTGGTACAGGAAGTCTTGTGGTCACCTGAGTTACTGGACGGTGTGTTACATTCACGGTGGTTGGAGCTAGTGGAAAGTAGAAAAATGTATTGAGAATGCAGAAGAATCTATATTAAGTGAACAGTATTAAATGATTCTTAACCTTACATAAAGTCTAATTAACTAAAACAGGGAAAGAGAGATAACAGTCTCCTTTGTAATCCTGCAAGGATGAATGACAAAGCCAATCAAAATAAACAGTATTAAAATCCAAGCTTCAGAAGAATACCTCAATCCTATCTAATTCCCTTCCCACTCTTCAGTTTGACTAGATTACAATCATGTGAACATTTTTTAAAAAGGACCTACATTTAAGAATATGACTGTTATAGGAATGACTTAAAAGAGCAATTTTTCCCTCTTCAATTTCACATTGTTCTTAGTAGAGTAGAATTACTGGCCCTCAGGGCCTTCTCTCAAGGAAGTATAAATCTAAAACTATACTGTTATTCCCACAGGCTATGAAACTGGCTGGCTATTTTAATTAACATTTTTGCACACTCCCCCCCACCAGATCAACCTACATCTCTGGCTCCCTAGTATAATTCACATTTTTGTCTATCTCTCCCCTATTCCAACATTCTTTGCATCTATATTACAGACAGCATACTTTGCGTAATGTTAAAATATTTATTTTTTTTAAATGAGTCCTAAACATTTATTTACAATGGAACTATAATAATGTAATTTTTTGCTGGAAGTAACAGCACATGCCTGTAATTCCACTTTGGAAGGCTGAGGCAGGAGGATTTACTTGAGTTTGAGGACAGCCTGGGCTACATAGTGAGTTCGAGACCAGCCTTAAACACACAGCAAGACCTGTCTCAAAAAGGAGAGAAGTATGTGACTTTTTGGTGTAAGAGATGGGGTCTTGCTCTGTTGCCTGGGTTGTTCTCAAACTCCTATGCTTAAGTGACCCTCTGGCCTTAGCCGCCCAAATAGGACTATAGGTGAGTGCTACCAGGACTGACGATAACAGTGTTAAGAGTCACCATTTTCTTGTTCATAATTCTCTGAATTAGAATCACACGATTGTATAGTAACTATATAATAGAAAATTTAATAAATATTTTTATATAGTTTTTTTCCAGTACTGGGGATTGAACCCAGGGCCTTAGTATTAAGCTACATCCCCAGCCTTTTTCATTTTTTATTTTGAAACAGGGTACCTCACTAAGTAGCCAAGGCTGGGTTTGAACTTGTGATTGCAGAGTGGTGGGATTTCAGGTATATACTACCACACCTTTCAAGTTTCTTTACTAAAAAGATCTTGCAGCCTAGAGATGTAGCGCAGTGGTAGAGCGCTTGCCTAGCTTGTATTAGGCCTCAGGTTCAATCTCTAGCACAATAAAATAAAAAATAAATGCAACTAAAGACATTTCAGACTTTATATGTGAGTTTCAATGTGAGCCTTCAGAAAAGGGAAGAAAGTATATAAGAAAGAACAGTTTGGAGCCAGGGATTTAGTTCAGTGGTTCTGCTGTCTGCTGTGCAAGTGCAAAGACCAGAGTTGATCCCTGGTACCAAAAAAAAAAAAAAAAAAAGAAGTAACAGTTCTCTCTCCATTATGCTCGTGTACTTCATCATGACATTTCCGTCTAAAATACCTAAATTAGGTAACTGTCATTATAACTTTGTATAAATGTAAAGAAATAGGTATCACTGCTCTGAAGGTTAAATTTAATAGTAACTGCCTATTTAGATAGACTAGTAGTACTTCAATATGAGAATCAATATAAAACCTCTATGCCAGAAATAAAGTCATATAAACACATTGTTTTTAGTGGCAATGTCAACAAAGTAAAATATAGTTTAAATGACAGGAAATTCTGGATAATCATTTAGAATTCTGAAATTGAACAAACCTATGCCAAACCGTTAGGCACTTATTGCCTCAAAAACAATTTCATTATTGAAAGACTAGTTAACAAATAGTTTACTAAATCACTACAAAATATCCTTTTTCCTACAAGTTATTTTGGTATTCTAAGGAGAATTTTCATTGAGTAAATCTCATTTTAACTCAATGTTTTCCTTAATTAGAAGAGTGCTTAATATACATACTTTGCAATACATTTCCAAACAACAGACTAATACGCAAGAAGACAAATTGTCTTGATTGGCTTCTAAACAATTTTGGTGATACAGGCTTTACCTTGAAAATGTCTGATTTATAGTTTCTTGAAATGTAGCAAATAAAGTATTAGTGTTTACTTCATAACTGTGTGTCAGGCCAGTCAAAGGAAATTAAAGATAAGACTCACTTAAATAACTCGTTTGATCAATTATAATGTCTTGGTTGTACACAGAACACATCATTTTAACCAGCTCTTCCAGAGAAACTCCTTCATTTCTGCTCTTCACAGTGGCAGATGACAAAGACCCAGAGGTTAAGCCTCCTTTATAATAATTCTCTACAGTGCTGCTACTTAAGACAGCCAAACTAAGTTATATTGCATTCAAAAAGACAAATACTGTTTTCAAAGTAATAATGAGATTTATTCTTCATTTTCTGTCTAATCTTTCCACTTAATTCCACAGTCACAATCCTCTGCAGGTAAAACTAGAGCCTAGTCAATAATTCAGAAAATTTACCTGTAGGTAGTAAGTGTATGGTAGTTTGAGATGGTCCACTTGTTGGCACTCCAGATGGCTGAAGAGGTGGCGCTGGTTGTATGGGTTGCAATGGTCGAGACATGGGCTGAGAAGAACCCATGGTTGATATAGGAGTGTGACTGACTTTTTTGGAGTCTGTTAATTAAAAGTGAGGTATTATGATTAATAATACAAAAAACTTTACAAAACACAGGTCTTTCCTTTATGGGTGAATTTTATTTTTGCTCGCCATGTAGGCATCACATTTACCTATCTTTATGAGAATAATGTCTTTCTGATTTAATCAGAGATGTATTTTTGCTGATTTGAAAACCAAGCTAGAAGCTATTTAAATATTTTCACTGTTTCTTCTAAAAGATTCTAATTCACATTTACAAGAATTCAGCTTTTTTTAAAATTAAAGAAATTATTTTTGGATCAATATACTACCATGTCAACTAAACTAGTTACACTGCTTACCTAAATATGTATCTATTTATCTACATACTTGTATGAGACATCCTCCTAAACAAGTACTATAAATTGGTAAGTTTTCACTGAGATTTTGAATTTCAACTATTCAGTGTTGTATAGATTTGTTTGCTAACACAAATGGCTACTTCACCATTATTATCTAGTCTTTAAAATAAAATACACATACAATGTCTAGTATAATAAAAAGGTCTTCAAAAGTCTATGCAATAAATGTTTGAACCTCAGACAAATCCCTTAAAGCACATCATATTAAATGATATGAGCCAAAAGTCTTTCTATCTAAAATGATGTTCACAGACTTCTGTCCTATGAAATTCAACACCAAAATGTAAATAAAAGTTAAGGCTTTAGCAAATGATACTTTTGGTGTTGGATAAGAACAATGTACTTTAAAATGGGAGAATTTAGAGATGAACTCAAAGATGGGACAATGGCAAGAGCACCCAGAAGACTTGGATGCTAGAAAGTCAAATAGCCAGAGCAATGCAAATAAGCTTGCTTACTTTACATTTTAATCGAGAATTAGCTCTTCTATGTCTTCTCAAAAAATAACCTGTATTAGGGCCAGGGATTTAGCTCAGTGGTTTTGTCGCCTGCTGTGCAAGCACAAGGACCCGAGTTTGATCCCCAGTACCAAAAAAAAAAAAAACCAAAAAAACCTGTATTTATTTTTGTTCCCTAGGGATTCATTATAGTGAAATATGCACATAAGAAAATAGTGAAAGCAATACAGGTAATGTAAACTCTTAAAAGAATAATCATACTGGTATGAGTTCAATACTGATGGATGACATAAATTTCCCAACTGTATTTCATACCAAAAAAAAAAAAAAATCAAAATGAAACAAAAATACCTTATTACATAATCAATTGTACAGCTATTAATTTTCCTAAAACGAACTAAAATGTGACTTTTAACATCTTTAGCTCTTAAAGTTCAGTATCTTTAAGGTTAACAACTTACTTAAGCATCTGCTAGGTTTTCTGAATGCATCACTACTACTACAGAGTTTTACAGATAAGTATGTGAACAGTTTGTAAGTAATTCTGTGACACATTTTATATTCAGAACATAACTACAGACTTATACTATAAATGCTGTAATATAATAAAGGCTCAGAGAATTCTAAGGAAAAAAAAAACCATTGAAATTTAGCTCAGTATTTCCCAAGAATATTTAACTATGGAACTTTTAATAGAGTATCTATTAACAATATAGAAGAATAACTGGAATATAGTTTAATATTTATCCAGTAAGTTTCTAAATACTATATTTCAGAATACTGAGAATTTTCAGTGTGCTATTTTCATATTTATTTACAAAATGCTAAAGAAATAACTCAAAGAACCACAATTAAATTTATACAAAAAAATATATATATACACACATTTAGAAGTATCTACAGGAGGTGCGCACACACATATATAAAGAAAGAACTTTTAATGTTGAGTCAGAAGTCCTAGATTTGATTACTAGGTCTCTTATGATTCTGACACATCCTCTCTAAATAAAGCAAGTTCCTTCAACTATAACAAGTTTATTGCAAGGATCAAGTGAAGTAACATATACAAAACCAGAAATTGTTCCATCAACTAACTAGTCTCCTAACTGCTATTTTCCTCTATACCTTGCTCATATTCTTTTCAAAATTTGATTTCTGCTTTTTAATTCTAATTTTAGAAACCCTCATTTTAAACAAGATAAAAATACACTAAACATAATGCTCTAGACATCTGTCTTCACAGAAGACTGTAGTATATTAAGAGGAAAAAATGATAGCAAAGCATTCCTTAATACCATTACTTTTTAAGTACCTTGAGAAGATCCACTTTCTTCATCATCCATTGTGAGATCAATGACACCACCTGAATCACTGCCAGTGGCTTTTCCACTCTGAAAAACAAAATGACTGCATTATACAAAGGAAATTGGGAGGTATAAAGGCAAAATGTGTTCACAGTGAAGAGAAAGATGAATAATGAGCACCTTGGTTCGCTGTGGATCCCTAAATGGATTTATGTGATGAAACAGTGTGTGGAGGAAATGCCCCAGGATATTCGTGAGTTAAACTCCTCCCATAAAAATACAACTTTCAAATATTTTCGAAAGAAATTCTAGACTTTTAAAAAATTCACAGCACTTTAATAGAGCTACTGAAGTGACTAGATGTTTTAAGTGCTGTGAGATTGAATACAAGCATCATTCATTTCCTGGCAATTGAAATGTTATTTCTAAATTATCAATTAGTAATTCACCAAAACCTCAAAGGCAATCTTTAAAGACAGAATTAGATTACAAAAATATCTAAATCTGTCTTATCTTTTTCCCTAAAAAAACTGGTGTAGTATGGCATGATATGCAATTAATGTACATCAACTTTAACCAAAGTCAACCTACTGTTCAAAATCAATCAAGACCCCCCTAACCCGAAAACACACCTTTAAAACTGCAGAACAGTGACAAAAGAAGAGAAGGACGGACAACAGATCCACTGAACAAGGATTCTGAAGTCAAAAAAGACTAAATTTTGAGGCTTTGTGTTTAAAGGTAATTTCCTCAATTTCTAAAATATAGATGTTGAAGCTTTTGTGAGGATTAATCCACACATATATATGAAATGCTTAGCATTACACATGACACATAGCTGGTTAATAAATGATAATCATCATTTACACTGACATACTCTGAATCAACTCCAAATAATTAGGGTTTTGATTTACCAAACTCAAACTATGTGAATGAAACTAAAGAAAATAACTCTTTGACTACAAAATACAGGCCCAATCTCAAGACAATAATGCTAAATCTTATAATTACAAATCTTTGTATGATGATTTCACAAAAATAATTTACAAACACTCCAAAAATAAAATTCAAAATTAAAATTGCTAACAAGCCTCAATGAATGGAAAAGAATCCATTCACCATACCATATCATTAAGAAAGTGCAGTTTTCAAAATCCATTGTTTTGAGAAAAAAAAAAAGAAGTGAACATGCAAAGACTGATAAAGTGGAATCCAATTTAGGATAAAAGTCAACAGAAGCTAACTCCAAGCACAGCCAGATGTTGCACTCAGCAGACATAAAAATAGCTATTAAAAATGTGTTCAAAGAATTAAAAGAAAATGTGGTATTAATGCATTCACAAACAGGAAATCTCAAAAGAGAAGTAGAAATTAAAAGGCAAAAAGAAAATAAGGTGGAAAAGAATGGTTATTAAAATAAAAAACAAGTACACAAGGAGTAGACTGCAGCAGACAGAAACAACTCATGGAGACTGAAGGTAGATCAACAGAAATTTTCCAGTCTAAAAAAGAGAGGAAAAAAGGAATAAATGTGAAAACTACCTAAGCTCCATTTAATAAGAAAGATTTCATAGGAAGAAAATATTCAAATGAGAAGAGGAACAAAGGAGGAGAGAAGAGGAAAGGAAATAAGGATCAGGAAAAAAAAAGAATAGAAGGAAAAACTGGAAACAAAGCTTTTGTAAATAAGGAGGGGATGAGGGGTCGAAGGGAGGGGAGAATGGGAAAAAAAGACTTATCATGTACAGATACAAATTCCCTATGATGAGTATTATTATGTATATCAAAAATATACCAATAAATTTTTTGCTTAAAAAAATTTCAGTAAAAATCTATCTTTATATCAAAAAATCAAGAAAGAAGAAGGTAACATATAAAGAAAGAGCATTGGGGGAGGGGCGGTAAATGTAGATATAAAACTGAAAAGTTCCTATCAGTGATCTAAGTAATTCAATATTAACTCTAATATAACAATATGACTTTAAGATTCAGATATGTATTATAAACCTGGGAACAGAACCAGGCATAGTAGAAGTATGTGTCTAATGTCAGCTAACTGAGAAGCTGAAACAAGAGGATAGCAAATTCAAGGTCTGCCTGGCCAACAGGGCTAGACTACTCCTCTCTAATATAGAAATAAATGAACCCTAGAGTAACCCATTTGAAAAAAAAAAAAGAAAGCACATAGCTAGAAAGCCAATAAAGGAATGAAAATAGAATACCTAAAAAGCAGGCAGAAAACAGAGCAAGAAAGAAGGCACACAGAAACAAATTTTTTAAAAAAGCAAAATAGCAGACCATATCAATAGATATATTAACTGTAAAAGGACTTAAAAACTACTATCAAAATGTGAAGATCAGGGCTGGGGATTTAGCTCAGTGGTTCTAATGCCTGCCTCGCAAGCTCAAGGTCCCGAGTTCTATTTCCGGTACCAAATAAGAAAAAAAAAATTAAAGATCATCAGATGGGATAACAAAGCAAAAAATCGAATTTTTCTTGCCTGTTAAGATTCACTTTGAATAAAAAGACACAAACAGGTTAACAGTAAAAGACTGAAAAAAGCTAACATGCATACAGTAAAAAAGAGAAAGGCTGGCTGCTATGACTGTTACTACCAAAGACAAAAAATACAAGAGACAAAAGACAAAAAATACGAAGACAAAAAAAGACAAGAGATAAAAGATAAAACCTTTAAAGATAAAAGGGTCAATGTATCAGGAAGATGTTGGTGGGTTAACAAGATTATAGATTATACATTATGGAAAAACATATATACCTCACGATAGAGCATCAAAACATATGAAGTAAAACTGATGAAATTAAAAGAAAAACCAGACACATTCACATTATATTGGGAGTAATACACTACTCTCAGTAGTAGAAAAAACATTAGACCAAAAGGACATTATCCAGGCAGGGATTTAGCTCAGTGGTTCTGCTGCCTGCCTCGCAATTGCAAGGTCCTGAGTTCGATCCCCAGTACCCAAAAAAGGAAAAAAAAAAAAAGACATTATCCAGTAAACATATAGAAGATTCAAAGGACACCATTAACTACATTACCCTAACATTTACAGAATACTACACTCAACACCAAGACAATGTTTTCAAGTGTAATGGTACATTCACTAGGATACACATTTTGGGCTTTATAATAAGATCTAAGGTACTTAAGTAATGAAATCATACAGAGGACAATTTCCTAAACACAACAGCATCAAATGAGAAATTAATTACAAAACAATACTTGCAAAATCTCCAAATTTTAAATAACATATAATAAGCAACCCAAGACCCAAAAAGAAATAACAAAGAACTAAATTACATGAAAATGGGACAAATAAAAATTTGCAGTAAAACTCTTTAAGTTTTGCACAGGCAAAGGCAAGGACTTTTTGAATAGAAATTCAACTGCATAAGAAGTAACACGGACAGTCAACAAAAGGGATCATATTTGTTATGATTAAAAAACTTCTGCATAGCAAAGGAGACAACCTGCAGAACAGAAAACAATTTTGCCAGGTACTCCTCAGACAGGGCTAATATACAGAATATACAAAGAACTCAAAAAGTTAGGCCTACCCAAAATAAAAAACTCATTCAAAAAATAGGCAACAGAATATACTTTTTAAAAGAGGTAGTATAAATGTGAATGAGTGCATGAAAAGTATTTGGCATCTTCAGTCATTAGAGAAACACAAATCAATACTAAGATTCCATTTTAATTCAAAAAGAATAACTATCATCAAGAACTAAAAAAAACATTAATCCCAACACTTGGGAGGCCACAGCAGGAGGACCACCATGAGTTTGAGGCCAGCCTGGGCTGCATAATGAGTTCAAGGCCAGCCTAACATACATAGTGAGACCCTGTCTCAACCTCAACATCACCCCGAAAAAACCCAAAATAAACAAAAAAGAAACCTAAAAAAACCAACAAATGCTCATGAGGCTGTGGGTAAAAAGGGACCCTTCTACACTGGTGGAAATGTAAACTAGTGCAACCACTGTGGAAATCAGTATGAAGCTTCCTAAGAAAACAAAAGACAGAAATTCCATTTGATCTAGCTGTAGTTCTGCCATGTATCTTCCTAAAGGAGTGAAAAGACATATTACAGTTATGTATTCATATCCATATTTACAGTGGCACAAGTCATAATAACTACATCTTAGAAGCATTCTACATGTCCAACACATGAATGGAAAAAGAAAATGTGGTATAAAGAACAGAGTAATTTTTAGAAAAATGGAAATACTCTGAGACCACAAGGCTAAGTCAAATGAATCAGATAAAAAAGGTTAAATATTACATGCTTAGTATTATATGAGAAACCTAAAGTACATATAATTTAGGAGCAAAATAAGTGATGGGAAAGAAGGAGACAGATGTTGTGGAGATGGGGGAGACAGGAGGAAGGGGAGAAGATAAGGATCATGATGAAATATGTACATGTACCAATGTATTTATTATATATTGCAAACATTAAAAAAAAGAAAAAACTTGCAGAATGCAACTAAAGCAGTGTCCAGAGAAAAATTTATATCATAACATTCTCATATAGGATGAGAAAAAGACATAATCAACGACGTAAGCTAATAAATTATAAATTACTTTTTATTCATAATAACATGACAGATACAGCTCATCTGTTATCACACACTACAGTAAGTTTCCTGGATAGATTTTCTTTATAGAAATACAATTGGTAGAGCAGGCCTTGTGGCCCATGCCTGTTATACCAGCACTCTAGGAGGTTGAGGCAAAAGGATTCAAATTTGACCTCAGCCTGGGCAACTTAGTGAGACCCTGTCACAAAATTAGAGAATTATAAAAGGGGCTGAGAACATAGCTCAGTGTAAAGAACCTGGGTTCAATCCCCAGTACCACCCAAGGGGCGGGGGGGGAGGGGGATAAATGGTAATTATTTCAGAATTATTAAGAGCATTTATAAGATTGTCATGATAATTAACATTCTTAGCAGACTGGATTTTTACAGTCTCTTTTTACACTTATTAACATCTAACCTTTATAATAATCTTGTGAGGTAAATTTTAGCATTACATCTATTTTATAGCTTATAAAAAATCTTAGGTGTGAAATAACTGCCAAAGGTCACTTTAAGTAACAGGACAAGAGCTATGATTATGATATCTGACTATGGAACTTATTATTTCTATGTCACTTAGGTGGAAACTGAGATACATATATTTACTATATCCATGTTTATCATTTCTTCCTATAACACATTACATCTGAGAATACTTATCTAGTCAAAGATACCATATCTTTATATCTAGATTTATACATATTACTGAAGCCTTCACTATGAAGCCATCAAAAATATGGTGTATCAAATAATTTTTAACATTGAGAATTTAAAAGTTAACTGTGTTTTATTCCCAAAGTAACTAGCGTCATTTGAACACTACAAAATTTCAAAACAGCAAAGAGTGCTTTGTAGGTTTTTTTGTAGTGAAATAAGAACATTTAAAAGACCAGAATAGGACACTTCAGCATCTGAAAAGCACTAATACAAAAGACGGTGCGCACTCCTTTCACACCTCTTCCAAAGGAAACCATAACCATAGTGGCTTAGCCAATTATCAGAAATGTGGTCCCTGGAAGTCAATTAATGATTAGCAATTTTCTTAGATACACTTTAGTGGACTGCACCACACTGTCACATCAGGATTACTTTGCACTAATATCATGATTGATGATGTACACCTGGGTTTCACTGTTGATCTTTAATTTCCAATGCCACAACCAAGTTATATAGAAAATGTGTCTATGTGACCACCCCTGCCAAAAGTCTCAGCCCTTAAAATCTGGCCTTTGCAAAAATCCCTGCAGTTAGTAAGCCAAAGAGAAGGCAAATTCTGTGTGATCCCAGACACAGGAGGACTTAAAAGACTCCAAACTCCACTCAAAATATTTTTCCTGTTGCTCTCACTCTACATTGCTTTTGCTATGATAAACCATAACCATTAATATAACCTGCTAAGGAGTTTTATAAGTCCTCTAGTGAATTAGCAAATGTGAATGTGATCTTGATTCCCTAAAAACTATACTATAACTACCGCCAGCAAGATAAGGGAATAAAGTTTTATAAAATATGCTGATAATATACTATACAAATATATGTATGAATAGAATATATAGTAATTCACTGTAGGAAATGCATTAATAAATACTTATTTAGGGGACTTTGGAGAAATCTTCGGTGAAGAACTTACTGTCTAAATACTACTTACATTGTATTAGGTATTATAAGTAGCCTAAAGATATACCATGCTGTTTTGTATAAGGGACTTGTGCATTTATGGATTTTAGTATCTGTGGGCAACCTGAAACCAATCCCCCACAGATACCAAGGGATGAATGACTATATATACTATGACTTCAGTACTGGACTGCTTTGAAACTCCTTGAATTTGGTGCTTGATGCATTCTGACACGAAAATTCTGTACTGGCACTGGTTGTTTGGCACTTGATGTGCAAGTTAGAAATTATCCCTGTTAGTTGTCCTGTGACTGGCTACCCTTTCTAGCCAAAATAATTTATTTGGTACTCTTCAAGTAATCAGGTACCATTGTATTCATCTGGTAATTAGGTATGCCTGAGTAAAAATAATTTCCATACTAGCCATTCAGATTTCTTCTAGTTTATAATAGTCTTCAGATGTTATGAAGTACAAGTAGATTTGGCATAGAAAAAAGGAGTTAACCAAAGGTTATTTAGAAAGTAATAGCTCAAGAATTATAGAATATCTGTTTCACATGAGTTTCTATCTGCTAAGAGGCACATAAGGTAAAAAGCTAACAATAATTAATACATCTTCAAAAATCTAATAGTCATACATTAATAAAGGTATTTACAACAAATACAGAAACTGTATTTTTACCAAAAAAAATAAAAAATCCAGCCAGCAAGTGTGACTCTGTAACAGGAAGCACATATATACTTCCCCTAATTTCTTAGTATATAATAAAATTCTTCTTATATTTATTATTCATATCCTTAACTGACATGCATTCAAAGCTGAAACTTTGCTATTTGGACAAAATTTCATTTTAACAGGTTAGCTGTTTTGCTAAAGTACTTGTATGTATTTATGTTATGTAATACAATACAAACTAAATATTTTAGATTCTAGAAACTGTGGCGTATGGAGTGATACACGGTGTTTTCGATTTTCTGGAATAAGGTGTTAGGTATCATTAGATTTTTGTACTGTTTTAATTTTTCTTCAAATGAAAGTATATCAAGCTTTTATAGTTACTTAACAGTATATATATTATATATAACAGTACAGTGTAGTACAGTAGATATTACATATTTCAGCAAAAAACTCCAAAACTGTACTTTAATAGGACTTTTTCCAATGATGAGACTATTTTACAACTGTGTTGTCCAATAATGAAGTCACTAGCCAAAGGTGGCTTTTAAAGTTAAAATAAGTTTATTTTAACCAGTGATTTTTTTCAATTAAATTTAAATTTAAATAGTTACATGTCTCTGGAGAGAAAAGCTCTGTAAGAACCACTATTATTTATTAAATGATAAACTACAGGCATTATAACATTCGTTTTCTTGTAAAAAGCAAAACGTAAGAAAACAGAGAGAAAACAAAAATATCAGAAAGGAATATAAATATCAGGAAGGAAATAAAGATGTTTATAAATTTTTTTTTTTCTTTTTGGTACCAGAGATCGAACTCAGGACATTGTGCTTGCGAGGCAGGTGGCGGAACCACTGAGCTAAATCCCTGGCCCATAAATTCTTTAATTTCAAGTTAACTTTGTAAAGTTAGACTTCCTATATAGCTGTCAATTACAAATCACTTGAATATTGGTTTCACTCAGCAGAACAACACAAAAAACAAATGCATAAAGGATCTGCTGAGTATACTGGCATGTGTCCACAGTTCCATTTATTCAACAGGCTGAAGCAGAAGGTCATTTGAGCCCAAGATTTCAAGGCCAGTTTGGGCAACACAGCAATAACACCCGTATCAAAAAAAAACCCCAAAAAAACCCTCCCACAATATATCCTTTTCTATACCATGTCTTCTAGAAAAATACCTCAAACAATTTTACACAACTCTAATCTTTAATACTGTACACAAAGCCTGCTGAAGTCTGTAAGATAAAATATTTTAAAAGCTTTTATGGATCTATAAACATAGTGCATACATCTAGCCTTGACCAAAAAGTCAGGATTTTAAAGGAAAAAGGTAATAATTATTATGACCTTGTTTTTAAATGTCATTTATTTGTGCCTGACATACTTATACTCAAGACTAGAAATAATACTTGAGTTTCTTGAAACAATTAAAAGAAATACTAATTCACTTGTTATAAATCTACCACATCTAAAGCAATATAGAAGAATTAGGAAGAACACTGTTAAGAAAAAAGCAGTTGCTCTACTACTGGGAGGTTAGGATTTAATGAAAAAGTACCAAGACAGGTTAAGTGCTAATAAACTATCAGAGAGATAAAAACTTCCTTCCCCAGAAGTTAACCTTTGAGGAAACTAACACAATGATGGGGGATGGAGGTAGGCAAGGAGGAGTGGAACAGCAGTGGGGTAGGCCAGAGAGATACTCTCAAAAAGAAGGGCCTGGAAAAAATTTATGTGATGTAGAGTGAATCTTTACAGTACATGAAGGTAAATAAACTGTCATACAATCCAAACAGTCAGTGATATAATGAACTAATATTATCTCAGAGAAATGATAGGCAAAGAAATTCAATTCTTGTCAAGCATTAAAGAGAAGCTGTGAGAAAATGTTTGCACAGTTGTAAGAAAACAATTTTCACTGTATCAGAGACTACTGATGAAAGTCTTGTTCTTTGGGCTGTAATCAGAATTTTATTTTGAAGTAGAAGGGAAAATCATTACCTGTGCTGTGCTATCAGTTGCTTTCTTATTAACAGAAGCATCTATTGGTTTGTTTGTCTGGTTTTCTGAGAAGGAAAAAAAAGGCATTTTTAAAAACCAACTACATTATGTAAAAGGTTAGGCTGCTGTACATACAATAATTCTGGTAATTTATTCCAACTATTATTCTGTCAACATATGTAAATGGATTCTCTCATACATCACTGCTATAGTATCCTTCAGAAAGGCAAATATATAATACAGAAGAAAAAAAACTTCATCTACTCATTGACCCAAGAAATTTAAATTCTATCCTAAGGAACACGCAGGAAAGTAATTTAAAACATACCTAACTTTAGTCCTCTAACATGAGGAAAATGACTAGACAAAACATAATTCTTCTATACTACAGTGTGCCCCTTTGAAAAAAATTTGTATTTTTTGGTAGTTCAATTACTGATTATTTTTTATTTCTTTATTCATTTTTAATTAATTTGTTTCAAGTTTGTGGTAAAAAAAAAAATGTTATTCCAGAACAGCATGAAAAAATAAATCATATATGTTTCTGTCCCGATTTTTAAAGAAGTGTGGGAGGAAAGGCATTAAATTTTATCAAACATGACTTTTCCTCTTTTATAGTATAGCTAATTACATTATCAAGACTTTAGCTGAAACATTCCATCTTTTCTTTCTGGAAATAACATTTTCTTCTTCAAAATAGGTCATTCTTCTCATTTGTAAATCTTTGGAACACATACAGAAGAAACCATTTTTGTTTAAACAAAGATAAAACTGTCTTTCCATACCACATATATAATTTGACATTTTAAAACTCAAGTGGGGTAAAGGAGGTATTCTAGGGAAAGGAAGTAAACAGAAAGCCTTTAACAATTTTCTGATTTAAATTCTTTCTGTAGAAAAAATATATTGATTATTTTTTTCAAAAAAGTATCTTAAAATTACATCACATAATGCAAGTGGGCATGCGTTTTGGGCTTTGGAGTTCCTCGAGACCATTTAACATAACACTAATTCCAAGCTAGTGATCTTACATACTGGAGTGTTATCTCTAAAACATAGTAATAATATTATCAAAACATCAAATTTTTTATATGCAATGTTAAAAAATATTCATTTAGATTTGAAACGCACTGTGATTTTCAAACAAAAAAAGGTAACTTGAAAAGTACATGAAAAGTAGATGAGTTTTGTTTTCATTTTCTGTTGTAATATTCTCATACAAAAATTCCTCAAGATTTAGACTGCTTAATAATATGTCACACATACACATTTTCAAAACACAATTGTTCTGTTATCCAACATGATTCTGACTTGTCTCAGGGCAATAAGTTAATTACTCACAGAACTGTAGTAATATTTATTTTAGATTTTCAATTATTATGCCCTCTTCTATTATAGAACTTTTCCTTTGATTTAATGTAATATTTTACAGTTTAAATACATCTTTTTCCTTTTCTTCTAGTATAACATCTACTTTAGATGACTTCTAAAAGTAAAAACTTATAAATCAATTTATCAATCAATCAACAAAATTGGTCAGGGTGTGAAAACAAATTGTAACTCCAAGTCCTTCTGTAAATTGGGGTGTATTTCTATCTTGTTATCCTTCAAAGGTTATTTCATGTAACACAGGTCACTTTTCACCAATACCACATTTTTACCATAGTCATAAAAATGTTTTACAGAAGGAGTATAAACCTGTAGTATTCCCTCAGTAGGTCTGGGATAATTGCTGTATGAACAGAAATGGAAGGCAAAATCTTCATTCGAGACACTCAAAGAAAGTAAAAGCTGAATAAGTTTTGTTTAAATTCTTGTTTTCTTATACTCTTGAAACAAGAGATGTTTAATGAGATCTGAGTTATAAATGAATTCTATATAACTCTCCCCCAAATCAGCACTTCAAGTCTATCTTAGTAAATGGTATGAGCACTTAAGACTTAAGTGCTTAAGAAACCTGTTATCTGAGTTCAACATTTCTCTCATGATTTAATGTTTTGTCAATAAATTAGCAAGCACTGCCAATTCTATCTCCTGAATAACTTACATTTTTACACCACCACTTCTCATTTAGTTCACTGCAAACATCTAAGTATTCTCCCTAATTCCACTCTTATCCCCCCCAAACCATTTTCTACACTTCAGCCAGTATTCATAAATGTCACACTCCCTCTCCTCAAAGAACCATAAACCTCCTTTCCACCACTTTTTGCTCATTATTACATATCTTTCCAGACCTCCCATGTCCTCGCATATCGTCTCAGAGAAAACAGTAGTCTTAATAGCATCACATTTACAATTACTAACTCAATGGACAAGTTCCCTATTTGATTGCAAGCTTAATAAGCACAGGGACTACTCTACTCATTTCTGTGTAGCCACAGAACCTTCGAACAATACAGGCAATTCAACAGCTCATGAATGAAAAAAATAACTATAATCTGAGCCCTAACTATCCAAAAGAGCCCCAGGAGGACACTGATTTCACTATATACAGAAAATACTGACTTAGATTCCCTAATATAATGAACTGTAATAAAATATATACAAATATATGTAGTCTAGTTATATACCATATTCTTTAAGTAAATAACACCTCTGGAAGTATAGGCTTGGAAAATTTTTAATTATATAACCTTTAATTATATAACCTCACAATAGGGATACAAAGTTTAGCTTCAACTTTCACATTCAGCAAAAATTTGCCATTGGGTGTTAATTTAGGCTTTTAGAAGACTAAACAACCAAATATCTATTTTAATGTCATTTATGGCACCCATGAAATTAGGCATGATCGATGAATATATATTCTTGTAATTCAGTCTAACATTATGAAAACATACAAGATTGTCATTTAATTTTATTTACTATATAATAATTTATTTTTAGCTGTGAGTTACATGGAACTTGAAATGATCTGTATATCTAATGTAAATATGAATGTGTTAAATACACATGCTAAAATATAAAAATTATCTCGAAAGTAGAATGCTACACTGAGATTAATCATTATGAAAACTATTAAGCATACACTGTAAATAGATTTGAAAAAGAATGACACAGTACTACTGAAAGAGTGAAACAACTAGGCAATTTTTGAATATACTCTTTTTTGTCCTGTTAAATGTTCATAAAATCTTCAGAGAACAGACAGATGAAATTATAAATCTGGTATTTGTAGAAGTCGTTACTGGACAGGCATTCATAACATTAAAGAACATAATCTCCTGAATTTTCTTTCTTTTTAGGCCCTGGTATTGTAGGAAAATACTATATTTTGGACTATATCTTATTCAGGAGACCAGGAATTTAAAACATTGTGAACTTCACTTCAAAACTTCATAAAGAGGACAAATTATAAAATCAAATTAAAACAATGCCCATCATAAATCATTTGACATATTAAAGAACACTAAAACTAAAAGAAAAAGAAATTGGAGAAAAATAGAAGAATCCCCCCCCATATCTTGTTACCAATCCGTTAAAAGTAGGAATCCCTTTTTGTGTTGCAAACATGGAACACTGACTAAGGAATACTGTGGAATCATCTAACGCTAACACTGCTACTGTACTATGCAAACATTTAAATTAAAAACTATATTAAAATTAATAGCCATTTCATTTTCATATAGAATGTCAGTTTACTCATCCCAGATGTTCACTGCATGGGGGTGATATTCAGCTTTAGCCCAACATTAACTTCGATCCACCATCAGTTTCTTGACAATTCTGTGAAATGCCATCACTATTTTATATGAGAGAACACAGAGTAAGCTCACTAATTACTACATGACAAATAAAAAATAAGGAGTGCTATGTCTACTTGAAAAGTAATCTTATTGCCTAGCATGAGGACCTAGGTTCTATTCCCAGCAGTGCAGAAAAAGAAGGGGAAAACAAGGTAATTTGAATTTTGTATGTTAAAATGTTTCTTATGTCATGGTTACTACATCAATAAGAAAACTACTGTAGAAATTTCATTATATACATGATACTACCCATTTATGTTTGGCTTTCTAAAAGAAGTAAGGATAAATGTGAAAGAATGCATACAAAATGTGTGCTTTCTAGGAAAGAAAGACATAGCTTCTGCAATTTTAAATACAGGTATAATCAAGTTCTCTTTTTTTCATTACCTCTAAGTAAAATACAAACAATCATATATCCTATGGGGGGAAAACAGAAAACAAGAAATCAGACATTTTGTAGTAAATCAGAGGTGGAAGAATCTATTTTTAAATTGTTTCAATTTAGAAGACATGAGCAATGAATGTACAACAGACTTCTCTAAATGGGTAGGAAAAATATGTGTTTTTTATTATTCTCTGGCAAGCATATATTGTTTCAATCAGAGACTTAAAATGTACTTATTCTATTTAGATATCCCTAGCAAATGTATAATAAAATTCATAGTACTGCTATAAAGCTAAATTAAAAACTCACCAAAATTAGGAAAAGAACTAAAAGATAAGATAAAATGCAAATTTCTCACTCATGATAATCCTCCTATCAGACTGGGAAGACAGAAGGGAGGAAGGACATTCAGGACAATTTGGTAAGGGGCACCAAACCGGTAAGATAGGAGAAATTTTGATTTTCTATAGCACAGAAGAGTAACTACTGGTTAAAACAATCTGAAATATTTCAATGTGACTAGAAGAGTAGGCCGTTCCCAACTCAGATATAATTAACCACCCGTTGAGCTATGTGTGATGGCACATGCCTATAATCCCAGAACTCTGGGAGGTTAAGACAGAAGGCGCAGAAGCTTGTGCTTATCCTGGGTCACTAGGTAAGATCCTGTCTCTTAAAAAAAAATTGACTGAGGATGTAGCTCAGTATTAAGGACGTGGGTTGAATTCCCAGTACAACAAAAATTAAAATTTAAAAAATTAACCTTTGAAGAGATGAAAGTGCTTATTCCCCTGATTTTATTATTATACATTGCATACATGTATCAGATTATCATAATATATCCCACAAAAGATGTGCAAATATATCTCAATAAAAAAAAACACCTCTCTCAAACTTTAATTTAAAAACATCACTTCTCTTAGGTATCTAGAAAATCGCTAAAAATAATCTCAAGGAAAGTCTATTTACCCTGTTTTCCCAATAATACTAGCCACTTAAAAAAAAAAAAGTTGAATCATCTAAAAGTCACTAATACACCTGGCATTTCTGTTACTAAACCAATATGATGACTTACCAATTCTTGGGGTGGTAGCGCTGTTCTGTTCTGCAGAAGATGAAGTACTAAAAGCAGAAATTGGAATTTTCATCTGTATAGGACCTCGATTATTTGATGGACTATAGAGTCCTGATGGACCCACTGCAGGTAAAGAAGTCCTTGTGGCTTGTACAATAGAGTGTGCTGTTGGAACAGCTTGTACAGCAAGTGTTGTTCCTAATGGTGCAGCACTGGCAGGAGAGTTTCTTTGAATACTAGGACTGGGCACAGAAGAAACGTTGTTTGGTTTAGAGGGATTTGGCAAGGATGGCAAAGATACTGGAGTTTTGGTAAGACCACTCACTGTAGGTGTGCTTTGCACAGAAATAAATTCAACATTGCCAGATGGCTGATTGGTTACTAAAGTCCCTGGATGGCTCTGTAGGAGCTGAGGCTGGGAGGATACTGCAACAGGAACATGCAAAATCACTGGCAAAGGTTGTAAAGAAATTGTAGGTGGAGGATTTCCAGTAGGCACCTGAGTAGTTGCAACTACTGTAGCGGTATTGGGTGCAGGAAGAACTGGTGTTGCTGTCTGAGAGCCTGAGGTTGCTGGATTCTGCAATTTAGGTTGACTAGTGACAACTGCTGGAGGAGTGACAAGATTGGTTGAAGATACTGTAAGGAAGAAAAAAAACAAGTCTTAAATAGCTACCATAAGTTATGCCTTATAATAATGACCCATGCAAATTCATTGTTATATACAGTAACATAATGAGAATTTTCCTAGGTTTAAATTCTGGGAATTCTTACAATTAAATTTTTAGAAACATTTTTTATATATACATCTGCATATTATCAAAATGGCACATGATTTAACAGCAATAGGGAGGACTACTAACTATCTCAGTATCAGAACAGTCTTTGAAAATTACTATAATTACTTCAGAATAACTGGAACAACAAATAACATTAAAATCTAACCAAATAAAAAATGAAGATATTTTTGAAACATTAAAAATATTATAGTGGCTTATAACGGGAGCAATATATAAACATAAATAGGAACTCTAGAAAGAGTCTTGACCATTAATGAGTAGCAGATACACTTAAGCAGCATAGTTTATCACTGGGATCATGTGAAATCTATGTATGTGGATTGAGTTCTACTGAATTCCCTAAGAAAGGAACTAACTAGTTGGGGATCCCTCTACTGATACGCTTTTGACATCAGATGATACAGAAAATAATAATGAGTGAAAATAGAGACAGATTAAAAAATGAGAGGCCACATACCAAAGAGAAAATAAAAATGCTATTTGTAAGAGATTTATAGAAATTTTGATTCTAATCCTTGTGCTTATTCTCATTGAAATGGGTTTGACATATGTTCTTCATTCATTTATATTCTTTCCAAAATCACACGTATACTATTCCAAAGTGTGGTCCAGGCAAACACCTGTGGTTTCCTGGACTCCTACAGAGAGTTTGCGATGTCAAAACTATTTTCATTGTATGGACATTTGTAAGAACAAAGCAAAAGTAACAGTGAGGAGAACTGCAGATGGATTACTTCAACAGTCCTCCTTGAGCTGTAGGAGATACTTTCCAAGATTCTCAGTGGATGCTGAAGCCCACAAACAGTACTGAACTCTATAAACACTGCATCTTTTCCTATACACTCAGGTGTTGCTTAATAAGGATGCGCTAAGAAATGTGTAGTTAAGCAATTTCATTGTGGTGTAATCACAGAATGCACTTAGACAAGCCTAAATGGTGTAAGTCAATCATTCAATGCGATCTCTTAGATATGAGATTTATGAGGCTACTGCTGGCATAACACAGCAAACTATTTTACAGCAAACTTTAAAAATAATGAGTATATTTTAAATTGCAATGAAAATTATGTGAATACATAAATTAGTGACAGTTGTTTATTATAAAGTATTATGTATTATACACAATTCTATGTGCTATACTTTTATAAACTGGAAGCACTGATTTGTTTACATCAATATCAACATAAAACTCATGAGTAACATGTTGAACTGTTACAATGGCTACAACTTTACTAAGTGAGCATTTTCAGCTCCATTATAATCATACGAAACAACTGTCTTCTATGTAGTTCACTGAAATGCTATTATGCAGTGCACGACTATACATATACACCTATGAGTTTAATTTATAAATTAGGCATAGTAAAAGATTAACAATAATTTGTCAAACAATTTTACCAATATACTACAAGTTATGAATTATCCTGAAATTTTCCATTTAATATTTGAATACCACAGGTAACTGAAATTCTGGAAAATGAAACTGTGGAGAATGGGTGTACAAAAAAATTAAGGTAGTGGAGTGGTACTATACTGTTACCACAATCTTCATCACCCTATGCTTTTCGTTAAAAATAATGTCCATTACAGTTAAAAATACCCATAATGAAGCAGTAAAAACTGTTAATTTTATTGTATCTCAATACTTGAGTAGGCATTCCACTCTACTGTGTGAATCAATAGGTAGTATTAAAAAAAAGGTGATATAAAACAAAATACAGCTGCAAGCCAAAACAGGATAACTGACACAAGGAAAAGTACTTGTGTAAGCTAAATTAGCAGTCTTTTTCAAGGACAACCATTTTTACTTAAAAGAATGACCTGGAAAAATCAATGAGAAAATTTCGTTAGTGTGGTTTCAGATTCTACTTTGCACTAATTTTAAACTACTTGACAGTATCAAAGATGAACATCCAGGCTGGGCATGGTAGCGCATGCCTTCAATCCCAGGATCTGGAAGGCAGTAGGATCACCAAGAATTCGAAGCCAGCCTGGGTTACACAATGAATTTAATGTGGGAAGACTGGGGAGACTCTTGTCTCAAAAAAAGAACCCAAAGAATATACACAGTTACCTAAAAGGGTTAGCCATTTTCCATCTACATATTTGTATAAGGATGGATTTTGTTCATATACTTCAGTCAAATTAATATAATGAAACAAACTTTGGTGTGGCAGCTGTAATCCTAGCACTTGGGAGGCTGAGGCAGGAGAATCATGAGTCTGAGGCCAGACTGAACTATATACCAAGACCCTGTGTCTCTCCTGCCTCCCCTCAAAAGCAACTGAAAGTAGATATAGATGTAAGCCTATAGCTACCTTTAAGTGTCCTAACATCTTAAGCAAAACAGAGATTTATAAAAATGAAAGCCAGTATTTCACTATTTTTAATCGTGAAAAATAAAAATGTTGTCTGTGTTACACTTTATAGGTTTATTATCAATCTTAAATGAATAAAATTTTTAAAAATTTTTTAACTTAAACTGATAGTATGAATTGTTACAACTCATAAAAGCACACTGGGGTTTTTAAGCTTTAAGACTGTAAAAGGATCTGGAGACCAAAAGTTTGAAAAATAATCAGGAATTTTAATATCTATATTTTAATATACACTTGTGATCTCAAATTTTTAGTTATATTTCGTACTAGAGCAATGTGCCCAGTTTTCTAGACCATTTCAAACTCAAAAGAACGTTAAAAGAACCAAAGCCTTTAATACCTAAGAAAAAAATTTTTCTGTTAAAAATGTTACCTGTATTCACAGGAGTTTGAAAAGACGGTGGTGCACTCTCACCTACATTTCTTTTGGACTCCAACATCTGCCTTACTGTGCTTGCATTTCTATGAAATATACATAGATACATACAAATAATCAATTGGTATGCATTCTAGGGAACAACTACTGCTATATGGAAAAAGCACTGGCCTATAGTAGAAAAGCAGTGGCTAGATTTAGGTTTCATAACCCTAAACCCCAAGCAAACACAAGGCACTGATGGTAAAAAAACATCTAAGTGCTGGGGCCTATAGCATTAGGGAACAGTCTTTCTTTTATATTCTAATATTATATTCTAACACTTAAGCTGAAGACCAAATGAAGGTTCTAATATACACAGACAGTAGTCTTTCTTCTCCTTTTTTTTTTTGGTAGCGGGGATCAAACTCTGGTCCTTGCGCTTGCAGGGTACACAGTGGAACCACTGAGCTAAATTCCCGCCCCAACAGTAGTCTTTCTTACAACAGCATTTCTCAACTGTTTAAGAATACTACTCATGATGTGAGGTTAAAGAACTATGCAGTGACCAAAGTCTTATAATACATCACCAGAAGTAATATCCATAGATTAACAATGCAACAAAGCAGAAAAAGGAAATATTCTCAACCCAGTATAAAAGTTATCTCTATATAAATATGTATGATTACAAGACTTTTCTACCAAATAAGGAAAATCATAACCTTACTATTATTTAAAAACCAGAAAAATCGACTATAATTCTTACCTGTAGGCCATATTATTATTGCTGATGATATCACTTGCAGATTTTCCTGGTGATACAGGTGGGTTTGGTGGATTCTGGGAAGGGGAAGTACCCAAATAAAAATAAAAGCCAGTATGTGGAAAATTTTTTAAAAAGAGCTATAAATGATTTCACAATATGTAATCTATTACTTCAACCATATCATAGATAATATTACTAGTTGAGACAAGAATTTGAAATCCTGGCATTGCCACTCTTCAGTTTATCTTAAGTATTTACTCTTTTGAAGACAACTGCTTATCATCTGAAAAATGAATATAATAATTTCTATAATTCAGTATTCTTGTGGAGATTATACAAAACAAACATCATATTAGTACCAGAAATTTAATAATATATAAGTGGTATCCAATCTCACAAATCAAAAATTATTAAAGTTATTTTTAAGATTTTGTTTTTAAAAATTCTACCTGCCATTACATGATTTCAGTAATTGCTGAAAATGATGTCAGAATTCTTAGATGCATTAACAACTTATTTCAGCTCTCTCCCCAATCAAGGAATACAGAAATGGAATTCTAACATCTACTTATTAATTACCATTATTTAAACTTCCACCATTAATAATACTATCATTTATTTCTCAAAATGAGAATAAGTTCATTCAAGAGTATAAAAATAATACATGTTAAGCCAGAGGTGATAGGTAAAGTACTGAGCATTACATGAAGCAGATGCCACTAACTAGTCTCCTCAATAACAAATACATTTCACTACTTCTTATAAAATAAAACCACCTTGAGTGTGGTGGTACACTCCTGTAATGTCAGCACTGGGGAGGCTGAGGCAGGAGGATCTCTGTGAGTTCGAGGGCAGCCTAGGCTACAGAGTTCAAGGCCAGTCTGAACTACATAGCAAGGCCCTGTCTCAAAAAAAATTTTTTAAATAAAACAAACAAATAAATAAAACCATCTTATCAGTATAGTGTTGTATTAGATAATGCATGTGTATAGGGGAAACAAAAGACAATTAAGATAAACTGCTTTGAAGGTACTTAAATATTTGTCAAGACAAACACGTGTGAAATAAATAGAAAAAGCATAAAATAGTATTGCAGTACCGATGGAAAAATACTAAAAATTAAAGGCTTTGGGGTAAGACTAACTTCAAGCAGGTGTTTGAGTAGTTATTGTTATATTCAGAATGGTTACGATAAAAGAAATGAACACTTTGGGGATGTCTCTTTCTCGTTGCTGAGACACAACACGTGCAACTTAAAGGAGGATATGTTTATTTTAGCTCATGGCTTTAAGTCCAGGGTCAGTGGGCTGCAACAGAATGCAGGGCAGAGGAGCATAGCCTAGGAAAAGCTGCTTATGTCACAGCAGCCAGGAAGCAGTGAGCACTGGGAGGAGCCAGAGAGGGAGAGAAACCCTTCCAGGTCAAGCCCCTTGGGAACCTGCCTCTTCCAGGCAGGCCCCACCTCCTAAAGGTCAGTCGGCTATAGATCTCCCAGGATCCAGTCACCTTCCAAAAGCCCAATCTCTGAACATATGTGCCTTTTAGGGGCCAATCTAGATCTAAATCATAACAAGAGAAAAAAACAGGGAAAAAAAGAATAGAGAATAAATAAAGCAACTGCTTAGAACATGGCTTGGTGACATCTGTGGTGTGGCAAAATGGGAGGTGGAACACACTCCTTCTCTGGTGGAGATGATGACTTGACAGTGCAAGGACCAGACTGCCTTTGTGAGACTTCCAAAAATGAGGGGCTGCAGCACCCTCGGCAAGAACAAGACCAAAAAGAGGCACAATGGAACAGGTAGGAAAGTGCATGCATTTGCCTACCACACTCCATTAACTTCCCAGTACAGCACAGCAAAATCAAGCCTTCTCCACCAAAAAGGAAAGAATGGAACTTGGATCCAATTTTCTGACAGGATGCTCAAAGCACTGGTTTTTATCTCACCCAACTCAGACACCTGGGTTGGAATGCAGACTGATCCTGAGTTCGATCCCCCGTACCAAAAAAAAAAAAAAAGAAAGAAAGAAAAAAGAAAAGTAGAAGACAAGACTAGAGCTCTTTTATATGACTGAAGTTAAGTTGATAGAACTTTAAAACAGTTTTAACTATGTGTTTTATGTAATCCTCACAGTATCCAGAGAAATAATCCACAGAAAATATTCAGGAGTTAATGCATGTTAGTGTGTGTTTTTATATGTGTGTGTGTGTGTGTGTGTATGTATGTATGTATTTTTTTTTTAAATCACTGAAATACCAAAACAAAAAAGCAAGAGGGGCCAGGGATTTAGCTCAGTGGTTTTGCCACCTGCTGCACAAGCGCAAGGACCCGAGTTCGATCCCGGTACCGAAATAAAAAAAAAGAGCAAGAGAACAACACAGTTACAAAGCATTGAGAAAAAAAATCAAAATGGCACTATTAAGTCTCTCTCAAATAGTAATTGCTTAAAAGGCAAATGTATGAAATACTTTATTCAAAAGACAGAGTGGATGAAAGTATGAAAAAACAGAATCTGACCTTACATTGTCTTAAGAGACTCAATTCAGATATAAACACACAAAGACTGTAAATGAAAGGATGAGAAACATTCTGCACAACTAACAAGAGAGTAAGGGTGGCCATACTTACATAACATTTTAAGTCAACAATTGTCAAAAAAGACAATGAAGGACATTATGCAATCATAAAAACAACAATTTATGAGGCAAAACAATATTTGCACCTGCCACCACAGGTCTCAAATATGTGAAGCAAATACTGAAAGAATTGAAAGAGACAGTAATAGTAAGAGACTTCGATATACAACTTTCAATAATGTAATGAAAATTAGAAAATCAATAAGGAAACAGAGGACTTAACATTATAGATCAATCTAACACAATAGATCAATCTAACACAATAGATATAAACCGAGTATTTTATCAAACAGCAGCAGAAAACACATTCTTCTTAAGGCATACAGGGAACAGTCTCATGAACAGATCACATGTTAATTCACAAAATAGGTCTTAATAAATGAATAAATTAAGGAAAATAAAACTCAAGATCTTTTCTGGAATGGAATAAAACAAGTCACAATGGAATAAAATGTAAAATCAAACTGCAGAAAAAAACAAAATACACAAATACAGAAGAAGAAATTAACACACTGTTTGAAAAGTCAATGCATCTAAGAAAAAAATTAAATGGGAAATCAGAAAATACCTTAATACAAATGAAAACACAGTATGCCAGGACTTATAAAAGTGAAACTAGTATTAAGAGAACAGTTTATAAAAGTAAACACAAAAAAGAATAATCTTGGATGGAAACCTAACTTTAGGAAATGGAGCCCAGTGGTAGAGTACATGCCCTGGGTAAACTCCCTAACACTACAAAGAAAAAGAAAAAAAAACAAAAGAAAGGAGAACAGAAGAGGAAGGGGGAGGGAGGAGGAGAGCTAGATATCAAATAAACAAAACACCTAACTTTATACCTCAACAAACTAGAAGAGCCACCTAAAACCTGAAGTTACCAGCAAGAAATAAAGATTATGGCAGAAATAAATGAAACAAAGGGGGGGGAAAAATCAATGAAACTAGGAATGAGATTTTAAAAAGAAAATCAACAAATTGGCAAGCCTTTAACTAATACAAAAAGATTATTCAATTAACTGAAATCTGAAATGAAACAGGAGACATTAAATCTGATGCCACAGAAGCAGAAATGACTGTAAGAGACAATTATATACCAGCCAACTGGATAACCTAAAAGAAATTAATTTGTACCACTATATCTACCAAGGTTGAATCATGAAGACAAAAATACTTGAAAAAACCTGTAACTAGTAAGATTTAGTAAGTGATAAAAACTTCCCAATAAATGAAAACCCAAGAAAAAAAATCGTATGAGGATACTATCGCCAGTACTACCACCACCACCATCACCACAACAAAAAAAACTAGTGGAACTGCATTCAGTGTATATATCACCTAAACGTTAAGAGATAAAAAAATAAAACTCTTGAAATTTTTAGAAAATCTGGCTGTAAAGGAAGAAAAGTATAAGTATGGGTAGAAAGATGGCTTTACTCACAAGCTAATGAAGCAGGCACAAATTGTAATAAGATTCAAAAACACTTTAAACATTGTTCTCCAAATACCACATACCCATAACTGATCAAATTACTCATTTTCAATATTTAAAAATTATACAGCATTTATTCCTTTTAAAAGTACTGTATCTAGATTGCCAAAAATACTCTTTGGGAAAAAAATATTTTTATGCTTATTTTCCTTAAAGTCACTATCTCTCTGTACTAAATAAGAAAAACTAGAAAGTAGTTTTGAGAATTGGACATGCATTAAAACTTAAAAGTATTGGGCTGGGGATTTAGCTCAGTGGTTCCCACCACCTGCCTTGCAAGCGCAGGGTCCTGAGTTTGATCCCCGATACCAAAAAAAAAAATTTGAAGTAAATGGTAGGCAGTATATTAATTTAGAAACAAGAATGAATGGGAAGCAGAAATTCATGCTATGCAAAATTAACAAACGGAGGCCGAGGATGCAGATCAGTGGTGCCGCCGCCTGCCTTGCAAGCGCAGGGTCCTGAGTTCGAGCCCCGATACCAAAAAAATAAATTAGAAGTACATGGTAGGCAGTATATTAATTTAGAAACAAGAATGAATGGGAAGCAGAAATTCATGCTATGCAAAATTAACAAATGGAAGCCAAGGATGTAGGTCAGTGGTGCCGCCGCCTGCCTCGCAAGCACAAGGTCCCAAGTTCGATCCTCAGTACTAAAAAAAAAAAAACCCAAAAAAGACAAATGGAAGAATTCAAAGACAACTATTTGGTTCAGGCATAGAAAATAATTCTTAAAAGATTTACACCCAAGTCTAATATAAGAAATAAAATGGTTCATTTTTTACATTACAAAAAAGAAACAAAGCTAACAAGGTGGAGTTAATAGCATGAACACATGAAACAACATTAAAATAAAAAAGAACTTTGAATATGACTGTTATGGATTGTTTCTAATGTCCCTGCTCATTTTGTCATATGTGGAGCTTTTTGAAGATGACTGGATCTAGGGTTTATGCTATTGGAATCCAGGACACGATGCTGGGATGAATTCACAGAGGGATGCCAGGACTAAGGGTGTGAGTGCTACCTGTTGTACGAGTAAGTAACCTCCATACAATACAAGGGACAGAAAGAGCTGTGGTCGTGGCTTGTTCCTTGTTGCTTACTGCTGCTGCTGCTGCTTGTCTTCTGTGATGCCCTTCTGCCACGCCACCCTGCCTCAGAGCCAGCCAACTATGAACTGAAACATCTACAAACTGTGAGCTAAAATAAACTTTTCTTCCTTTAACTTTGGGTTTTGGGCATTTTATCTCAGTAAGGAGAAAAGTAGCTAAGACAATGAACAAATCAAGTTTTGTAAGATTAGTCAACATACAACAAAGATTAAAACCAACTGTCAGTTACACTAAGAGGTCAAGAAAAAAAAGAAAGAGGTCAAAGCCTAACACTTTAAGTAAAAAAACAAGAATAAGAGAAAAGGATAAAAACAGATCAGTTGAAGGTAAAACTACAAACGAGTAGCATGAAAGTCCCTTTATGATGACTCCCTTTACGGTGACAGAATAATTTTTATCTTTACTGTGATGGGCTTTACATAAATCTATATATGGGATCAAATTACACAGGCACAGAAACAGCATTTATATACAAGGAATGGACATACAAATTGGGAAAAGTGGTAAGTGATAAGGTCTAATAAATAAGTTAGTAGAATTGTACCAATTTTTTGGGTTTTGATAGTGCACTACATACAGTTTCACCATTGGGAATGGTTGGTGACAATTTCAGACGAGACTGGGTACATTCAGGGTAGTATGGCCCTAAACTGCTTGGTGAAAAGTTCATAGGACATCCTGTGTATCTACAATTACTTCAAATTAAATTTTCTTTTAAAAGCCAGGCAAAGAAGATATGAAAATGCATCAATAAAAAAATCTAGGAATAATAATGATTAGAATTTTTATTGAGACTGTGAGATAATATAGCTATCAAAAAAAAAAAAACAGAAAGGAAGGGAGGAAGAAAAGGAAACATAAGATGTTCAAATAAAAGAAATTCAAGCTACATGTGGTGGCACATTCCTGTAATCTCACCACTCTGGGAAACGGGCAAGAGGCTTGCAAGTTCAACCCCAACCCAGGCAACTTAGCAACTCAAGGAGACCCTACTCTCAATCAATGATTTTAAAAGGGCTGGGGATGTAGCACAGTGTAAAAGTCCTGTATCCAATCCCCAGCAGAATTTAAAAAGAAATGAACATACACACACATATATATATGGAGGAGTGGAGAAATCCAATATACAATTGCTATATTAAAAAATAACGGAAATAATAATAAAGAATAAAGAAACAACAAAAAAACCCCAGAATATAAAGGACAAAGGTTATGCTACCATGTCTGGACCTAATTCTGTATTTTAAAAAAACCCATACACACACAAACCAAAGTGTTTAATGCAACAAAATTACTTAATCTAATCTTTACCTATATGTTATAATAACAGCATAATATATGACTGATTATATGGGGAAGAAAAGAGGATAACATGAATACTAGCAGCAGTTGAATACATACTAAAATAGAGACTAGGACACTGGAAAGAACATAGGAAAAATCTTACAACAAATCTTAAAAACATAATTTTTTTTTTAAGAGTAGGAAAAATTTACTGAGGGAAAGAAAGCTTCTAAGAGAGTCAGAAGGGGGACTGGGAAATAGGTTGCCCCTTAAAAACATAATTTTAATGATACCAAACACAATTTCAAGAATGCCTTAAACTCAATTAACATAAACGTTGAAATATATATAGCATGAAATAAATTTGGCACTTGTAAATAAAGAAACAATTTTATCCTAAATCAGCATTTCCTAAGATTACCATTTAGAGATAGATATTAATTATAGAAGAATAAAAATTCTTACTTCTTGTCTTTTCTTAAGATCTTCTTTGGCTGCTCCAAAACGTTTGGTTAACCTGGCTATCTTGGCCTGACAGAAAACCAAAATGAAATAGAAATCAAGTGTCAGTATGGACTAAAAAAGAGTACATGCATATATAACAAGAAACTCACAAAAAGAGGATCCTCAGAAGATAGTGAAGAACAAAGAATATAAGGCAAAGTGGTCATAAAATACATACTTGGAAAATACAGAAAATCATATCAAAACTATAATGACCTCAGCCATAAAAAATGAGAAATTAGAGACATTTATAGCTAAGTGGATGTACATTGAGGCAATACTCTTAAGTGAAATAAATAGGACACACATGTGTAAATACCGAATAGTTTCTCTGGTGTGAGAAACTGAAAGTGTAAAT